TACTTCGTGAACTCGGCAACCAGGTTACCGTTCCTTTTTACCTCTGTTTTTTTTGTTGGCGGTAACCATGAATGGTGGTCGAGTAGATCATGTTGTGCGGGGTGGAGAACCCTCACTCTGCGCAAGGGGGATGATCGCACCACGTTGTGTTGAAATGGTCAAGCACCCTCGAGGCAGTTACACAGTGCTTACAACTGTCTCTGGAAGTGAAAGCACCAGAAAATAAATTAAGTCATACGCAGCTGTCATCCGTACGCAAGGAAGTAAGCACAAGATGCCGAAAACCCTTAGCAGGATGCAGCGCACCCTTCATGCGACTCGCCGAATATCTCACGGCGCTTCGCGCTTGGTGATGTGAGAGCCTGGTCCGGTGAGAACCCGGCGTGCTCCGTCCCGGCTTTGTAGGGATGCGAGGTCAATGGTCTAACGACTACGGCATGCACGACTATGAGTACACCCCCTCCCCCCTCATTCCACATCAATCCACGTGCGCGGGCTCAGCACAACGCTGGATAGGCCTCTCCACCGCACTGACGTTCCTTCCCCCTGGTTTTTGCTGTGTTGCTTGCTCGGTACTGTACCCACCGCCGTTGTCCTGGGGTGGTTTGACCCTTCCCTTGGCTTCCCTTTCCAGCGTCGGAGTGATCGCCTGGGAAGTGCTGTGTGGCGGGTCCAAGCTGCCGTACGATGGCATTGCCGACGACAAGGTATAAATAGCACCTACACTTTACTACCATGTCCCTTTTTTTTGTTTTTTTGCTTGCACCGATTGGTCGTCGAGCGTGCCGAAGAGACAGCCGTACGCAGCAGCAGCCAGCACGTTATCCAACGGGGGTGAGTTCCGGAACCCCGCTTGCGGTGGAGCTGACGAGCCGGCGCGCGCCCTTCTAGCGATCTATATTTCCGCTGGTGTGTCGGCGCGGCTCTAGACGCCTTCGGTATCTTGGTATAGCGTGGTGTGCGATGCTCCCGACCGCCGCTTCTGGTTGGTTAATAAATCCGCTTACATTATTCCCCCCCCCCCCCCCCCCCCC